AAGTAGCATTTTGTTCCTAAATTGTCAATCAAACAAAATATGAGTTAAGTGTGAGGCCAAACTGAAGACATATCCAGACAAGGAGACAAGTCCATCAGCAGAATATTAGTTATGTGCCCTGCAAATAAACACAGAAATCAAATTATATGCTTCTCAAAGGATCAACATAAACCACATTATGTTGATCAACATAACACATGTATTGTGCATTTCATTGAGGGACTGGAAGAAAGAGAATGAACACTTCCATGTACGAGAGGAATGAGAGGTGCCCTTCTTGACAGGATGTCATGAAGTGCATGTGGCACCTGGCACCCGGAGTCCAAACTGAAAAAGAGAGTAAAGGTGAAATCCATGTGGAAGGGGAGTCTTCTACGAGAAGGAGTTGAGCCATCAGGCAGCAATATATGCAAAACATAGAGACAATAAAAATATTGAGGATATGGCCAAAAATATATTTTTAGTGATTAACGCTCAAAATGGGCACATGTAAGTATATGGAAATTAAATGTTTCATAAGTGTCATTTCACATCAAGCGTAACAGATGCAGCTATTAAAATCAGTGGTAAGAGACATGCCTTTTTAAGAAATGTGGGCACACTGGTTATCATGTAGAAAAAGATAAAATACAACCTTGCCTCAAATGAATCATCAAAATATCTCAGATGGAATGGGGTATTTAACTATTAGAGCAAAATCTGGACAAATATATATAGAGTTCCTAGAAGAATTTTTTTTAAAAACCCACAATTTAAAAAGCAGAAAGCACGAATAGATAATTTAAGAAAAGGAAAAGCAAGTTGGTAATATATGAAATGCTCAACTGAACTAGTATCAGGGAAAACAAAATTATTGGCGAGCTATCATTTGACCCATTATCATAATTTTTACAATAATTTAAATATTTGATATAGCCATTGTATGCAGCACCTAATCATCTTACACCACCGATGTGTGAAAGGATAATTTCAGCACTTCACCCGACAATAAATGGAATTCATATACACTTCCTCCTTTATTGGATGTACCCAGTAAAAACAGAGCCCTGGAAGATTCCAAGTATCTGACTGTTCCATGCCTGTACTGACCGACCAGTTCAGTGGCACAGGGCTGGGCACAATGGATCATATTTTGGACCAGACAGTTCTTTGTTGTGGCGGGCAGACCTGTGCATTATAGGATGTTAGGGAGCATCCCCGGCCTATACCCACTAGATGCCAATAGCACTCCCCTCCCCTGCTGTGACAACCAAAAAATGTCTCCAGACATTCCCAAATGTTCCCTGGGGGATAAAACTGCCCCTAATTGGTAATGACTACTGTAGAAAATCAGGTTCCCCAACCTTAAATCACGCCCTCCATACTGCCTATAGTTCCACCACAACTCCCCAATCTCCCAAAGCCCTTAGATGTCTATGGTAACCTCACATATTCTAATCTCTCCTCACCTTCAGCTGATCATCTTCTACTTCAAAGAGGAATAGGGACCATGTGAAGGAAACTGCCACAAAGTCTAGGAATTTAGAAACAAGGAGCTGCTTCTCCTTACAGCTCAGATCATTATCTACAGCTCTGCTCTGGTCCCAACTCCACCCACCCTCAAGAGATTCTTTATTTTCACTCTCTCCACTGAACACTATATCCTTAGCAATTAAGTATGCGCATGTCTAACCAATCCCATTATATATCTTTCCTGATGCCAACTTTGCCTCCAGCTACTTGCTGATTTGCTTTCCCTTTCAATAAAATCTCCTCAAAAAGCCTCAACTGTCACCTCCACCCCCCACCATTAATCAGGCATGATGTCTCTACCAAGGAACTTCCTGGCAAGAAAGAGAACAGGTATTTTCTTATCTTCACCTTACTTGTTCCCAGGGCAGGACTTACCCATTCCCTCTGGAAATCCTTTCTCCTTTTGGGTCCTATGATACAACTATCTCCTGGTTTTCTTATTAATTCCTTAGACACTCTCTCTCAGCCTCTTCCTGTGTGAGTCCTTCCTCAACATTCAACTGAAGGGAATCACTGGGCTTGGGCCCAGTCCTTCTTCTCTAGGCAGCCTCACCTGATCCCTGGACCTCCATGACCATCTCTGGGCTCAGGACACCAAAGTCCCCAGCCTTAGGCTCCTTAAGGCCCAGACTGGTATACACAACTCTACTCCACAGCTCCTCCTATGTACTACAGTGAACCAGCATTTTTCTCTGGACACTCTTCTATAGCACCCTGGTTGCAGCATAAATGGCCTTACTTGTCATCCAGAGCTCTAGAAGGAAGCTGAAGTAATCCTTGAACAACTTCTCCCAAGCCCTCAAATCCAATGAGTTCACCATCTCTCTGAGGTGGTAACATTCTTCACCCTAACCCACACCCCTAAATCCTACTCAGTAACTCTTAAAATAATAAAGGTTTCTCACAGCTCTATACTCAGTCCCTAGCACATTGCATGGCAGAGTATGAGCTCAATAATTCCTTCCTTTGTGATGATAATTATCAAATTTTAAAATTTTCTTTCTGAATTGCCCTCATATCCCTTTCCACTTCCTCATATTTCTTTCTAATTCCAGTACCCAACAGCCCATTCCAGGATACTTGTATCTGGTTCTTAAACTTCTCAAGCATAATGGCTAGCCCTTAATCACAACTCAATCTGTAGCTCAAGTGTTCTTTTAAAGTGACTTTGTTCCTCTCCTGTTCCAAGTCCTTGGTGGCTTCCCACTGGCACTGGAACACAAACCACAGGGCTAATGGGGTGCTCAGGCCTTGCAACTTTGGCCTGCAACACATTATCTAGCTCACATCACTCCCCCCACCCATTTTAATCTCCTTTATCCGTTTATTCCTCTGTGCCTGGAATGTGCTGCCAGGCTCTCTGATCCCTTGGATTTGACACACATGGTAATTCTCTCTCCAAATATACTCCACCCAACCTTCTGTCTAGCTAAATCCTACTAATCTTTAAGGTCTCAGTTCAAATATACCACCTTTCCAAAAGATCTTTCCCTTCTATAAATTAAGTCTTACGGTTTTATGCTCCCATTGCATTCATGCTGTGATTAGTTTTAAAAGGTGTCTTCAAAACTGCACTGAGACGCTATGACAGACACACTGTTCTGTTGGTCACTGTGGCCCCACCCCAGCATAGGCCCAAGCAGCAGGGCCAAGATTAGCAAGAGATTAACTGATGGCCTTGTAGGGTCAACACCTCCCTCTACAATGGCAGACTAGTTAGGCTTAAAACGACACGCAGGAAGCATATAAGAACAGACATTTCATATAATTACTTAAAATGTCTAATAGTACAGAACAGATTATAAATGTTTTGTTTCAGAAAATGCTTCAAAAACAAAGTGATTTCTTCTTGGAAAGCAAGGTAAAGGAGCATTCTTTTCCAAAACGCATGTCTACACTTAAATATTTATTGCTTTTTACTCCAGAATTATCCTTCTCTTCCATTTCCCATGAGAACTCCTATGACTTTTAATTTCTTATTCTTCTAAACTTTCAATGGATCTCAAACCTAATTTTTGGTGCTAACATAATGCAAAATCCTCATTTTTGGCCTCAGAATCCTCTACATTTGGATTCTTTGCAGAGTTACAGTACTTAGCATATTAACTAAAACTCAGAAAAGAACATTGGAGTTCTGCTCAACATTAGATTTAAAAGCTAGTGACAAAAAATTTTTTTACTTCACATTCCTAAGAAAATTTTCTGCTTTAATATAATAAATGAAATATAAACTTAGAAATTACAATTCTTAAAATAGCTCACCTTAAAAAACGGGGGATGCCCAGTCAGAGATGCTCCTGGTAGGTAACGAACTGTCCTAAAAAAGAGTGAGATGGCAGTCTTGCCTCGTGCCCCAGCACTCACTAGAGGGACTAGGGAGGCTGCGGTCCCTGGGGCTGGGATGGGCTCGGAGCTCCCTTCCTCTGGGAAAGGCATGGCCGGGCTGTGTGAGGGAGGCCCTTTATAGCCACCGGGGTGCCATAATTAAAGCACACACCCGGCCCGCACCCACAGCATTTAATTTAAAAGGTTTTCCCTTTCACAGGGTAATACGGGTGATAACAGCAGGCAAATATGCCACTTGCCCTGATAAGGCTTACTCAATTCCCGAGTTTCTATACAGAAAACACTAAATACAGCAAGGAAATTTAAATATCTACGGCGGGCGGGGCTCCGTCGGGGGTGGGGGGTGGGGCAAGGCCAGGACAGTCCCGGGAAGAGAAGGGCCAACCCGGGCAGAGGCAAGGGGCAGCCGTGAAGACCCGTACAGGACGGCAGACGCAGCCCAATCGTCACAGGGATGGGCTCCAACGAAAGGTTGTTTGCTAAAAATTGTTCTCAACAGGATTTACAATTTAGAAGAATCCCCGAGGGGCCGGGTCGAGATACTCATAAGACTTTTCCAGTTTTAATTGGTAACTTCATTTCTTGTGACCTGTATTTGATCTGACATTGATCTTTTAATTAACTGAGAAAGAATGAGCAGACAAAATACTGAAATATGTTTTTCAATAGGAAAAACATCATCACTACCATCACCCACAGCCACGTGATAAAGCTGTCCCCAAAGGACTACGATATGTACTGAAGCACAGGGTATACGTCTGAGAGCTAAGCGACATTTTAGTTTTGGAAACGCAGAATTGGGAAAGTCAAGTTAACTTCTCTAAGTCTGTTGTCTTAAAGATATCTGCCTTGTCTTACTAGCATCCTGTGATTATTACATGAGTCACTATTTGGAGGAAAAAACCCTGTATAAGTATTACAGTATAAGAAAAAATAGTTTCAAATTCTCTGGAAGAGTTTTCAGCAGGCTTCAACAGTCCCTCCCCTCTGGCCCCAGAAAAGAGTGGAATGTAAAGGGTAGAACCCAGTCATCTTAACGACCTGATCCCCTTTTCCCTTGGTTTATCCCAGCTCCTGGCTCCTTCTAGTGCGGTCCGCAGACCAAGAGCTGGGGTCCCTCTTCGAAAATGGATACAGCACACGCTGAAGCGCTGATGGCAAGCACTGGTCTCACCCCCGCAGCACCTTGCAATCGCTGGGGGAGTGTTAAAATATATTGTTCTTGGGTCCCACACCTGGAAATTCTGCTTTAATTGTGCTGTACGGGGTGCAGCCAAGTATTCTGCACAACTCCAGCAGGTAACTGGACTGTGACCTAAGTGTGCACACTACCACCTACGGGATCTTGTTAAAATGCAGATTCTAAAACAATAGATGTGGGCAGGGGCCGAGATTCTGTATTTCTCAGAGGCTCCCTGGACTCCTGCGAGGCTCTCCAGAACGTGCTCTTCACTACCCTACTGGTTAGACAGGATTCAGGTAGATCCAATCGAGATAAAGAAGGTGCGCCTCCCAGCACCGTGACTTATTAGGTTTATCTACGGAGTACGCAGGGCGGTTTAAACCGCACCTTCCACCTTCCCGGTTAGGGATGGGAACTCGGTGGGATCCTGGCTTCACCCTCCTTTACGTTTGTGTCCCAGTGAGATCTAAGGAGCACTTTCGCCCTTATTTGTAAATGAATTTTAACCTACAGCTGGCAGCACGCACAAGCCAGGTTGTCTTGGGTGTCTTAACTACTCAGAAAGTTCTACTCTTAAATCGTAGTCTGCGGGAGACGCTGCCTCAGGATCACGCGGCTTTTTGGACTTACCGCCGAGAGGAGCAAGACTGATTCCTATTTTCATCAAGCAAGCGCGGTTTACAGCCAAAGGACCCCCCAACTCCACCCGACGCTTAAACACGCAGAAGGCTCCGGGGAAAGTCCAGGTGCATGTCCTTTTGTTATTAACCTGAAATTGAAACTCAACTGGCTGTGGGCAAACGCTTCGCACGAGGGTTGAAACTGCGGTCTCAAGCTCGCAGCCGCCGCCACAGGCCGCCAGGGGCGCGTCTGAGCGGTTTCGGCGGGAAGCACAGCAGCGGTCCCGGACGCCGAGCTCCCGGGGCGGGGGTACCGAGACACGGTGAAGGGGTTTGGCCGGCCTGCACCGGGCGCCTGCGATCCGATAGCCTCGGGTCGGCCCAGCCCTGCAGGAAGGCAGGCCCCCAGAGCGCCCCATCCCAGGGCCTGGGCGGGGTCAGCGGGAGCTTCCGGGGCGGGGGCAGGGCTAGCTGCGGTGGGGGGAGGGGGAGAAGGGAGGAGGAAAGAGGCTTCACGGGCCGGGAGTGGGGGAGGAGAGGGGGGAGGAGAGGGGGAAGGAGGACGAGGTCACAGGGTGAAGGCTTCCCGGGGCCGGCGGTGGGAGGGGAGCTGTCGGGGGGTGGGGTGTTACTGGAGCGGGGGAAGAGTTCTCGGGCTGGGAGTTGGGGGGAGGCGGGGAAGAGTTCTCGGGCCGGGAGTGGGGGGAGGCGGAGGGAAGAGTTCTCGGGCCAGGCTTCCCGGAGACTGGGGAGAGCGGGGGCGGAGCTCCCGAGTCAGGGGGGCTCCTAGGGTGGCCGGGGACGAGTTCCCTGGACTAGCGGGGGACGGGCGGGGCTCCCAGGTCGGGTCGGGGGGACTTCCTGGGGCAGCGGGGGGGTGAGAGGGAAGTTCCCGGCGCAGCGAGGGGGGAGAAAGAGTTCCCGGGGCGGGGGGTGGTTCGGGAGGAGGAGGATCCCGGGCAAGCGGTGGAGGGCGGAGGATGGGCGGGCGGGGGTCGTCCGCTCGCGGCGGCTCACCACGACGGGTCCGGAGTCCGGAAGGCCGGCGCGCGGGGCTGAGTCCCAGAGGCAGAGGCCGCGTGACTGGGAGGGCGGCAAGCCGGACGTGGGTCACGGGGTGTAAAGGAGGAAGTGCCACCGACGGGCCCGCCAAGATGTCACCAATGGAAATGCCTCCTGCAGGTGCGGCCCGCGCGACCGACCGAGGCAGGAAGTGGGAGGAGGAGGAAAGAATAGCAACGAGGAAGACCGTTCTGAGCGAGTTCTCAGGAAAGGTGCCAGGGTGGGGAAAAGTCCAGAGTTCCAGAGGAGGGGAGGACGGGCACGGCTCACGTGGAAGGACAAACCGTAAAATTAAAAAAATCTCTGAAGGCAGGAATTTAGAACGGAAACTAACGGACAAAAGGTAGAACCTCTTTGTAAATTCAGTACCTTGTTTTGTGTATTTGACCATAGGCTCATGTAAATACTTTACATAATTTTTAAAAGATTAATTTTAAAACATGCAGTTCTTAAACTTTATACCTAACAAGAAAATTACATTTTATGAAGCTCTGACTCCTAATTCAAATGAACAGACTGGAAAACAATTATAAGGCAACTGCAGTAATGTAAGCAGTGACTGAATTATTTTATATTAAGAAATTATAAAATTTTCTTAATGTAAGACAGCAATTATAAAACAATAAAACACAGCAATTATGCTGCTGTGGTTTTAAGAGATTATTTAGAGATACATCCAATGTCTAGAATATGTTTCTAAATAATGAGGGAGTGGGAGTACAGATGAAACATGGGCCATGATTTAGTGGTTATTGAAGTTGGGTGATGGGTACATGGAGTTTCATTATACTTTTGTCTCTATTTTTGTCTATGTTTAACACTTTAGTAATAAAATTATTTTTTCTTGGTGAGGAAGATTAGCCCTGGGCTAACATTTGTGCCCATCTTTCTCTACTTTATACGTGGGACGCCTGCCACAGCATGGCTTGATAAGCTGTGCACAGGTCCTCCCCGCCCCGCCATCTGAACCTGTGAATGCCAGGCCACCAACCAGGCCACCAACACAGAGCACGCTAACTTAACCACTTCGCCACCAGGCCAGCCCCAATAAAATTATTTTTTAAAGAAAAAAAAAAAAGCCTTAAGAATCTACTTACTAGAAATAACTACCAAATTATAGGATTTATAGTAAAGGTAAGAGGCAGGTACTAGGTGAGACTGGTGATGCAGTCTGCAAAGCCAGACTATGGGAAACTACAAGGGCAAATGAGCCAGTCCTTCAACGAAATAGCTCCAAGGGAAAAGACCACTTACTGAATAAAAGAAATTTAAGAGATTTATCAAGGGTTCACAATGCATGGGACATATTTGGGTTTTGATTCAAACAAACAGGTAAACATTGATGAGACAATTTGAACCCTGACTAGACATTTGGTATTCAAGTACTATTTTTTTGTGTGTGTGAGGAAGATCAGCCCTGAACTAACATCCATGCCAATCCTCCTCTTTTTTTGCTGAGGAAGACTGGCCCTGGACTAGCATCCATACCCGTCTTCCTCCACTTTATATTGGACGCCGCCACAGCATGGACTGACAAGCAGTGCGTGGGTGAGCGCCTGGGGTTCCGAACCCCGGCTGCCAACAGCAGAGCGCACACACTTAACCACTACGCCATCAGGCAGGCCCCTATATTTACTTATTTTAGATATGAGAGAATTATAGTTATGTTTAAAAATAAAGCAATTTTTAGAGATACATTTTGAAATACTTGTGGATGAAATGGTGTGATGGCTAGGATTTGCTTCAAAATTATCCATGAGGGAAGAAGGTGGGGGATGTAAAGAACGGTCCATGATTTGTCATTATTGAAGCTGGGTGATAGGATTCAAAATCCAGCCATCCCATGGAAAGTGAGTAAGAGCCTTGAAAAACTCATACACTCAAGAGAAGTAAAACAATATTCTGAAGAAAAATTAAGCCACAAAATTTGAAGAGTATCTCTACAGAAATGGGTACCTTGACATAACCATTTATTTCGCTTCTTAAAATCCTCTTCCAAATATATTCTTGGTAATTTATATGACTGATGTGCATTTTCTCAATTTATTTGAATATATTTGTTGCAAGTAAGTAGTTTTACATATGCCTTCTTTGCTTATCAAGGTGAAGTGTTAATAATTGATCAGTCATGATGTGGTTCTTGCCCCGTGAAGAAACAACACGTACAGAAGACACAGGGGAGCATGTTGTGCTGAGATAGAAAGCATCTGAAAACACCTGCAGCCAGGACTGAGATCAACAAATGAGGGATGTAGAGGAAGATCCTCCATAGCCTTAAAGGCCTGGTTTGGTATTTTTGACTCAAGGCCAATGGGAAGTCACCTAATTGTTTCAAAATGAAATGTGGTGTAATTTGAGTTTTGCTTTTCAACAGAGCAGTGTAGCTGCTATCTGGAAAATGAATGGTAGGAACAGATGCATGGAGATGAGATAGGAAGGAATGAGACAAGTTGAGGAAGAATTGATGGTACCCTGCAACAGAAACACTGGTGGAAATTGAAGCATGTGAAAGGATTTGAGTGATGTGCAGTAGATAAAATTTACGAAACTTGGAGAGTCATTCATTAACCCAGAAATATCGTCCACTTAGAAGATGCAGACACTGTTCTAGGTCCACAGAACAGTGGAATAGGAAATCAATAAAGAAATGAATAAATGTACAACGATAAATTCTGAAAATAGGGATTAACTTACATTGGGGTTCTGAGGAAGTGACATTTAAACAGACCAAAAGCATGAGCAGGGGTGGGAATGTGAAGTCTTTTTTTAAATAGTTCAAGTTTAAAAATAAAAGTTGGTCTCTTTTTCCTTTGTACATTACCTTACTTATTCCCCCTGGATGCTTGTTCAAATTCTTTATATTTTTAAAATGCAGCCCTTTACCAGGATATGTTTTGGTGTTTTTATATTTTATATTATAAAAATATATTTTTATTTTGTGATGAATCTTTTTAGTCCTTATATTCAGTTATTAAATTCACAAAACAGAATTTTAGATATTGTTTCTGCTGCTCATGTCTGTTTTCCACTTGAGGAGCACAGATGGGTCTGGGGAAGAAGCAATTCCCTGTCATGGGACAGTATATGTGAGCAGAGCCCAGACCTCTATTTGTTATGGATCTTTTCCTGTTCGACTGGAAATTATATTGGAAACCTCAGAAGTCTCTTCCAACCCAGCAATTTCATAAAGTCCCAACTCAGTGGCTCTTAAACATTTCTTGCTGTCAGGGACTCACCTGCGAGTATGATGCAGGTCTGGACCAACTTCTTCAAAAAATGTACCCCCCCACACAGTTGTACCTAAATTTCAGGGGGCTCATGCATCTGAAGTGTGAGAACTCAGACCTAATATGCCAACATGCCAAGTTCAATACACAAAGCTACCATGAGCTATTAAGGAGAGATGAGCTGTAGATGGATCATTAAATACATTTTAACCTTTTAAATGTTTATTGTTATTACTACATTTTTATCCATCAAAGGGGATGTGTCATGATCTATAAGCAACAGGAAAGCTGTTTTCCATTATCTTTTCACTATTAGACCCTTTACTTACTGTAGCTAAGTCTGGGGTAACACATTGTTTTCCTCAGTATTCATTTCTCAAAAGCTGGTTAACTAAAAACAAAAAAATACTATCATATCTATATTTACAACACTTGTATTGAAATTAACATAAATTTTTACCCAACATAGAACAAGCAACCCTTGCCCTATGATATCACTCACTGCATTTTGCAGGTGACTCAAGAATCAAGATTTAAAGAAAAAAATATGTATCAGGTGAGGTTTTCATAAAAAGAAACCCTGCTATTAGAATTCCACTGCTAAAAATAAAAATCTGTTCTCAATTAAGGGAAAAATTTCATCATCTGTATTAATTGGTAGTGCTCTCCCCATAATAAGAAATGTGATTCTAGCCTAGCTAAGAAATGGAGAGTGAGGAGGAGAGGAGAATTCTGACAAAAAAATACAATTGCTAAGAAGTCTCCCAACCACCTCCCGTACCACCCCCTGGGTGGGTGAGCACTCAGATCCTGGAGCTGGGCGGAAGGCCTCAGGGGGCTGGCAGGTTATAGGCATGGTCTCCAGGGAGACCTCTGCAGTACAAGCCCACAGCCCCCACAAGAAGGTGGCCCTCAGGGGGCCTAGAGCTTCCTCCTGAGGCTCTGTGAGAGCTGACACCTTGCTAGGTCCCATGCAGCTGCCACAGGAGTGGAGACTTCCTGTAGCTACTTGTGCTCAATGTTTGCTGCTCAGGGGACCACAGCACACTGCCCTGGGTGAGTGGAGAACAGAGCCCAAGAGGAGGAGGGAAACATGACAATGTACTCGAGAGGGTCTCCAGCGCCCAGAGAAAATACCACACATCAGACAACAGCTTAGACCAGCAGGCAGTTTTCAGAGAACAAGAAGTGCTGGAGAAAACCGTAAATACTTTAACAGAAAAAATAACAAGCACTTTCAGATACTCAATTACAAAATAAAAAACTTTCTGGTACTAAAAATTGAGTTTTGAATTTATAAAGTTAGTTATAAACTGAAAGAAAGGATAGTGGCCTGGAAAACCAAGTGGAAGAAATATCTCAAAACAGAAAGAAAATAGAAACAATAAGAGGAAAAAGATATGCAATTTGGAGGACATAAGATATAACACGAGACAGGAGATATAACATGTGAATAACAGGAATCCCAGAAGGAGAAAAAGACACAAATGGAGGCAAGAGAACAGATAAAGAATGAAAGGAAATTTTCCTGGCTTAAAATAAACTTGGTTGTGTAGTTTCCAACAGGTATTTTAAAAAGACACAACCCAGGCATATATTGGCAAAACTCTTAAATTTATAGAGAAAAACTGCTTTTAGAAAAAGAACAAGTTAGGTACAAAAGATAAAAATATGGTAGCCACCAGCCACATGTGGCTACTGAGCACTTCAAAGGTGCCAAGTACAAATTAAGCTCTAAGTATAAAACACACTGAATTACAAAGATTAAAACAAGAATGTAAAATCTCTCAATTTTAAAATATTGATTATATGTTGAAATGGTATTTTCGATGTATTGAGTTAATCAAAATATATTAAAATACACTAAAATATTAAAACATTTCCCAACTCATTCTACAAGGCCAGTATTACTCTGTGTTATGGTCTGAAATGTGTTGCAAAAATTAGTATGTTGAAATCCTAACCCCCAGTATACCAGAACGTGACCAGATTTAGAGAGAAAGTCTTTACAGAGGTAA